ACCGACATAAATAAACTCCTGTTAAAAAAAAGACATCAAGAATTACAGACTCATCTGCTTATCGTCTAATGTGTATACATGTATAAGATTTATGCCTGGATGTCTGGATGAAGGACAGCCAAAAGAACAAGTACAATGTAGGTATCACAATCTTATTCACTGTACACCACTACTGATCACATACACAAGTTGTAAACAAGCTCAAAGAGAAATGCTATGGATACAACATTCCACTTTGCCTTGCCTTTGTTGACTAAGAGAAAGTCTTGGCTTTAGTAGAGTCCCAGTCATCGATTGAATCACTAAAAGACAAAGGGTTCCAGGATGGAAAGACATGGCCAGAAATGCGCAGCATTCACGCGATACGCGAGCGCGCTACAGAAGGGCTTCACATGACTCAACTAGCCAATCACAGCACAACAATGGCATCGCACACAGACTCTGTGATAAGTGCTCAGCCCATTGTCAAGTAGTGTTAGTTCATGGTAACAAGCGTCTGACATGTGCAGAGAAGTTTATTGTAATATATATATTGTTCTTATTGTTACATTATTAAATCTAATCTCTGTATCCAAGTAGTAACCATACTGTACCAAGTCAGGTACTGATGATGTGCAGAGGTCATATGTTCCAGAATAACCCTTAGCAAAATGAAAAGTTTGCAGCAAACTTGCAAAAAATTTGCAGCAAATTTGCTGCAAACCAAATAGTTTGCAAGAAACTGTTTGCAGGTTGTTGCAAGAAAAATCACAGTTGTTGCAAATTTGCTGCAAATTTGCAGGAAGATTAAAAGTTTGCAGGTAGTTCGCAAGAAAACTATCATTTTCTAGCAAATTCGCAGCAAATTTGCAAGAAAGCTTCTATTTTCTTGCAAATTTGCAGCAAATTTGCAAGAAGACCCTCATTTACATAAAAGTTTGCTAGATGTTTGCAAGAAAGACTATACACTGTTGCAAATTTGCAGCAAATTTGCAAGAAACTGCTCATTTACATAAAAGCCTGAAGAAAGTTTGCAAGGATAAATATACCCTGTTGCAAATTTGCAGAAAATTTGCAAGAAAACCTTCATTTACATAACATTTTGCAGGAAGTTTGCAAGAAAGACTAACATTGTTGCAAATGCAGTAAATTTGCAATAAACTCCTCATTTACATAAAGGTTTGCAAGAAACTCAGCTTTTATACACACCAAGTTGATTCATTTGCAAGAAATTGCAATAAATTGTTTTATGTTTGCAGCAAATTTGCAAATTCTTTTTCATATAAAAGTTTGCCTGAGTTTTGCAAGAAAGTCCATACCTTTTTTTACTAACATACAGTTAAATTAATGATGTTTGCACTGAGCATGGGTGTCAGGAAGTGCCATTTTCAAGCCAAAATATTAGTATTAAGTTT